AGTTGCATCTATGAAAGGTGGAGGGGCTAGGGGGTAGGGTAGGAGGTAGGAAGAGATCACGAGAGAGAGAGAGCGTAAACACTCAAACTAGGAAATTACGGGCCATCTGGCTGCCACTTTTTGGCACTTTGTCACCACCCTCTCCCTTCCTGCCTCCGCTAGGTTTGCCAATTATTATGCTCTTCAAAATCAATAAAACAAATATTTTCTTTAATAAATAAGTGTGTTGCGCGGCGGTCTATTTGCGATTCATCACTCGCGGTGTAGGGCTGGTAGTGGCTCTGGTTCATGAAGGAACTCATCTCTCATTCGAGTCTGCGTTCCAGATCACTCTGCCGCTTCCCTTCCCTTGCTCGGTTAATCTATGAATGAAATATCGTGTTTTGTAACAGCGGTGGAACGAGTTATAAATTAATGGGAAATGATTGATTTTTCGTGGCCAGCTACAGCTTCATTTGCTACAATCGTGGAGAACGTTTTTATCAGTTGGCGTAATTTTGATGTTCAACTTTAGTATAGTATCGAGGGTTGCACGAATAAATAAAATATGTATAATTTCATAATTTTGAGTATAACAATGTTCCAATGTTTAATTATGAAAAATTAGACGACAAAAGATTTCTAAAAATTGTAATTGGGATTATGTCGTCGCATAAGTTGACACTCGGCAAGAGCAAAAGACACAATTAATGCATGATGATTACGTACTATTCTACTCGTATGCATACTAATAACAGCAAATCGATAGCGAAAGTCTAGTAGCAAAAGTGCACAAGGGGCAGTAGCGATTGGGTTTCGCAGAGAGCAAAGCTGCAGCGCTGTGAAAGCGACTGACATACTAAATAAACCCTCATATTAATTTTCTTCTTTTTGAAAGAAATCTATTGGTGTGGTTTCACTAATCCTTAATTGTGTGTAAACTCAATTGGATGTATTTCTGCCAAACGAAACTAGAAATAGGTGGGAGAGAAGGGGTGTGCTTGTTAGACGAGGGCCGTAAGAAGGAATGGGAACTATACAGCGCCAGTGACGTCAGCGTGAAAGACCCGGACGAGGATCTTGACGTCCGGAGTCTTTAACTCATGAGCCCTGTCCATAATGTCCTTTTGCCATGCCCACGGCTCATAAGTGCCACATACGGCTGGCGCCTAGTGTTTGGTAGAATTTGCAATCCCGGTTTCCCATTTTCCCAAAGGGAATCACGTCCACTTTTACACAGTTTCTTAGGCAGCTTTCTAGATCAATCCCCCTTCTTTCCCACTCGTCTTTTTCCGAAAAAATTTTCGGAAAAAAAAAAATCAAATACTAAGAAAAATATCGAACTGTATGTAACAAGATGGTGAAATGATGCTGCATGGGTACATACCATTTTGCGGGGAAAACAAATCCAAGAAGTTCCAAAAATTGTAATCAGAGTCAAATTTTTTTTTTTAAATTTTTTTTCTTCTATAGTTTCGTTTGGTAGGAATACGTCCAGTTAATAATCTTTGTTCGTAAAATCATATTGAACTCTCTTTAACTTAAGCCCTTTGCACCTGCATAAGACCCAACACGAGCTTGTCGAAAAATTGCAAAACAAACAGCCCTGCGTTGGGTTGAGGAGACATTTGATTTCGAACAGCACGCATTTGTCCAAGACAAACAAACAAATAAACAAATAAACATACAAAGCGCGGAGCGCGAGCAGAATAAAAATCCGAGTTGCAAACAGAGGAGGTGAAATGCGCGGAGGGCGATAAGGGGTTGCGTTTAGGGTGGCAATAAGGGGGGAAGATGTTTGCTCAAGCCCCCACAAAGTGGAGGTGACGGAGTGCCATGCTGGCTGCGTGCGCTCCTCCCGGAACCTGCAGCACGCAGCCGAATACAAAAATTATGCAACCAACAGAGCAAAAGACGTTTTCCTCAGGTACGTGTATGTCGTACGTACGTCAGCATCACCTCCAAAATTGCCAGATTTTAAGTATTTGTACATTCCGAGTCTCCTCGGTTAAAACATTTCAAATGAACTCTAAACGCAAAATTCAGCTGAAACAACGATCATGTTCGCGTCATGACAAATCACAAATTCAAGAGATGGGCACAGAGCTGCCTTTCATCCCCGGAGTGATCTCTCTCATCGCCATCATATTTTATTTATCATATTTATATACTAATTTAGAGGCTAGACAAACAGGGTCACGACCTTAGTCAGAAGTTAGAAGAAGAAGAAGAAGAAGAAGAAGAAGAAGAAGAAGAAGAAGAAGAAGAAGAAGAAGACGTTCGCGTCATTCATTGTCACTAAGCATAGAATGGAAGAAGTAAGTTATCATGCCTCAGCGTATGGTCATCAGTAAGTGAAACGATGATATGCTCATGCCAATCATCTGGTCGAAATCAAAGGTCGAAATGCAGCTTCTTGCTCCCGTGATCGGAGCCGTGGCGCGGGATTTGAATTTCAAAAACTTTGCCCGTTGGACGCGGATGATCCGAAAGTAAGCTATTTGTTCAGGAATAGTGATAAAAAAGGCCGTATTTCAGAAGGAACTTTTTCGAAAAACTTATCAAATATTAGCCAGAAATGAACAGTTAAAAATGAATAAATTTTCTGTTCAAAGAAGTTTCTTTCACACAACCTCATCTATTTTACCACAAATACTGTGCTCGTAGTATTTCAGTAACCGCATAGGTGGATCCAGACATCCCAAACAGGGGTAGGGGGTCTGGGGCCTCCCCCAGAACATTTTTGAATTTTTAAAGCATCTTATATGCAGTTTGAGTCAATTTCGTCATGATTAATCATCAAATATAAGCGATTTTCCGTCTTCTTTCCTCCCCTTCCTTCTTTTCTTTCCTTCCATCTTTCCTCCCCTTCTTTCTTTCCTCCCCTTCCTTCTTTCCTTTCTTTCCTTCTTTCCACCCCTTCTTCTTTCCTCCCCTTCATTTTTTCCTCTCTTTCCTTCTTTCCATCCCTTCTTCTTTCCTCCCCTTCCTTCTTTCCTTCCCTTCCTTCCTTCCTTTCCTTCCTTCTTTTCTCCCCTTCCTTCTTTCCTCCCCTTCCTTCTTTCCTTCCCTTCCTTCTTTCCTTTTCTTCCTTCTTTTCTCCCCTTCCTTCTTTCCTTCCCTTCCTTCTTTCCTCCCCTTCCTTCTTTCCTCCCCTTCCTTCTTTCCTCCCCTTCCTTCTTTCCTTCCCTTCCTTCTTTCCTTCCCTTCCTTCTTTACTCCCCTTCCTTCTTTACTCCCCTTCTTCTTTCCTCCCCTTCCTTCTTTCTTCCTCCTCTTTATTCCTCATTTTTTTTCGAGTGAACGGGAGGGGGTGTGCGCTCCACGGATAATCTGAAGCCCGTCTAGTCGAGACTCCTCTGTACTTCGTGCAAATAGCACCAATGAAGACATTCTGGGAGGAGGCGTAAAATTGGACAAACAGATTACAACCAGTTATCAAGTATCACGACTTCACGAGCGCGAGCCGCTGCCACGCTTGTAAGCGTGGAAATCGCTGTCAAGTGGCCGAGGACTCGGGTCGCGTGGCAAAGGCGCGTCGGGCACCGGGGGCGTCCTGGCGGAAAAAAGCAGCACTTGAGCGGAGCGTGGCGTCCAGGAAAATTTGATACGGTTGTTTTGATGTTCGGCGACGCGACGTCATGCGATAACCCTCGCGGGTCCCTGCAGGGATGGGCGCGAGGCATCGTCGCGATTCGTATCGGATCTGCTTTGCTAATGACTCCGATCTGGACAAACACTGCCGGGTGCGATGAAGATATCGCGTTTCTCTTATCCGCGGAGGCTACTTTCCCACGAAAAGCAACAGGGAACGCGCGTTAAATCGATGTTGTTTTATTGGAAACGTTTTCAACATTTATTGGAAAAATGACGTTACGTTGAGTGTGAGGAGAGCAATCGCGCCTTCAATTTTGTGAGTACGCAACATTGACATCCACCGAGTACGAATAGTTGTATCTATAGGCGTTGACATAGCATATTCATAAATTTTTCTGTTTTTCATGAAAATTTTCAACATATATTGGCAAAATGTCGTTATGTTGAGTGTGAGGAAAGCAATCGCGCCTTCAATTTTGTAAATATGCAACATTGACATCCATCGAGCACAAATAGTTGTATCTAGGCGTTGACATAACCATATTATCTACATACATTTTTCTGTTTTCGCTTAAAATAATTGTATTCTAATGGGATCGATCAAAAGAAGGTGTACGAAGCAAGTTAATTCCAAGTATGTATACTTGCACATATTTCGTCTCAGGATAGATACGTCCAATTAAAACGATCTGTACTGTGATGGTGAATAGAAACTGCAAATAGTAAAACATTTAAAAAGGAAACACTTCTTTTTTCTTTCAATTTTAAGAAGGCTTAAATTTGCTAATCCGCGGACCTTTAAAATCTAGCTTTGTCACGATTTTAACCAAAAATTTGATTGAATCCAAGTAAGTGTAACCAACACTAAAAATCATTACGACTCAGAAACGGACTTTTTTATTTACTTATTTTTCTTTTTCAGTAAATAAAATAATATGTAAGTCCTACATCAAATGAAAACCACTGCTTTCTTTAATCTCACGTTCCAATTCAATTACCCATATTTACATTATCTGAGTCGTCTTTTAAAACATGTGGATTTGTGCATCGGCAAATAAGAATTACACTGGAAAAAAACACATTGGATCTAGAGTCCAGACTCTTAAAAACATCGACAAGAAAAAGTACTCTTGATTCAATTAGATTTAAGCTTAAATCAAGAACCAAGCCTCTTAATTTGAGCGGATTTCCTTTTGATTTAAGCTTAAATCTAATCGAATCAAGAGACCTCTTTCTTGTCAATATTTTCAAGAGTCTGGACTCTGGATCCAATGTGTTTTTTTTCCAGTGTAAGTTGAAGTTCGCGATAAAATCAGACATTGATGTTGGACAATTGCGAGTCCTCAAGTAATTCTTTGTAGTTGCCTCTCTGGAGAGGGTCATGTATGCAGGGAATTCTGATTTGCAAATGAAAAGAGTCTTACCTGTACTCTAGCTTCTGTTAGATCTATTTTCATTGCAATTTCTTCTCTCGTGTAGATGTCCGGATAATGAGTCTCTTGAAACGCCCTCTCTAATTCTTTGAGCTGCGCAGATGTGAAAGTCGTTCGGATTCTCCTCTGTTTTCTCTTCTCTGTCAGGACCCCGTCATGTCCGGAGTAAACTTTGTAAGGTAAGCCACCTGAAACGAAGATAAACGAGTTACATGAAGAATGTAATGTGAAGTTATTAAGATAGGAAAATACCCCGGGGTTGCCAGGTACGTATACCTATAGGGCCAAACTAAGGATTTTTCCTGGTCGATTTTAGTACACGAGGATAGTTTTTGTCGCGGATCAAACTTTTCTGGTTTCAACAGTACCTACTTCAAGGACCGGTCAAAATATTTACTCGAGCCTTTCAGAATTTTTTTTAAAGAGCTGTGGTCTAGAATTTTTATAAGGCCCGATTTTTGAACCGTCGGACCATCGATAAGAAAAGGAAAAATCGTTAGACTGGTATCCGTTAATTCAAAAAATACTCGAGCAGTAATATTTGCAATCTCCGACAACCTACAGAGTATCAAAGATTTACAGTTAAAAAAGAAAAAAAAAGAAAAAAAGAAAGTAGTAGTAGTAGTAAAATAATTTTATTTTAAAGCGGTGCTTTAGCATCTAAGGCCATTTACACCTCTAAAGAAGGCAGTAATAGTAATAAATTTACATTGACAATCATCAAAAAGGATTAGTAAAAGAAAAAAAAGGGGAAAAAAGGGAAAATGGAAAATAAGGAAAAAAAGAAAAAAAGAAAAAAAAGAAGGAAAAAAGAAGTAAAAGAAGGAAAAAAGAAGAAAAAGAAGGAAAAAAGAAGTAAAAGAAGGAAAAAAAGAAGGAAAAGAAGGAAAAAAGAAGAAGAAAAGAAGAAGTTAAAGATGAAGAAGAAGATGAAAAATATTCTGATGTATTTGCGAGGGTACCGATTGTGGAAATAGATCCTTTCCAAGAATGAATACTTTGAGCTCCTGTACGGCAGGATGCTTTCTAATACCGTGTTTCTAACGAGGAGCACATTTTTCCGCATGCTGCACCGGAGAAAGTGCGCTGAGAGACCCTTGCTGTCGACGGTAATACTTAGCGGGAGCGACGAACGACGGACGTGGAGGAATGGCGAAAGAAGATGCGAAAGGTGCACGGCGCAAGGCAGGAACGTCGCTGCTCGCTTATCCGCGGAAATAAAATGGAAGCACTTTAATTAAAATAAAAATAAGAGGGAACGTGGCCGACGCAATGACAATAAAGCAGCAGAAGGGATGATTCAAGACATTATCGAGCCAGTAAGGGACTAAAGCGACCGTAAGAAAGGGCGTCTTGAACTTCGAATCGATCCGGTTGCAAGGAGGGGAGCAGCAGAGAGAATGGCTCCCACCCTAATTAACGCTACCGTCTTTATTCCTCCAGTAGGTATCTCCATCTTTATCCTTTATCCCATCCTTGCCTAATCTACCTTCTTCTTACGTTTTCCATGGTTTCTTCAACGCTTATATTAATTTGTTACTATGGAAGAAACCATTACACGGTGGTTCATGAATAAGAAGTTGTTCTGGCTGCGATTAAAGCCGTTTAAAAAATGAACATACAAGTCTATGTTAGATTCAGCGTTCCGATGGAAAAATAAAATATGTTTGAACTGGTAATGAGAAACCGGAAAGTTATGATCAGGAATTAATGTGATAATTTTCTAAACTGCATATAGCTCTATTCAGTTACCGATATCCAATTTGTCTGAAAATGTCACGAACAGATGCAAGTATATCAGACCTCTCAGTCGTGAAAAGTATAAAAATTACTTGACGTTTTACTCATTTTCAGGCTGCAATGAAGACAATCATGTGGAAATTTTTGTTGTAACATTCTTCCTTGCGTATCCTACATACGAATATACTGGTGACTTTAAAATGAACTTTCCTTGTGGAAATCATTTTTTACTTTCTCGCTCCCCTAGGGTAGAGAGGAAGCATTGTCATCCTCCAAGAAAAAAAAGTTGAAATTTCATCATTTCTAGACGTTTAAGGTCCAAGGGTTCAAAATAACCATACTTGTTTTTTCATTCTATGAATTCAAATTAAGAAGCTTTTCATTATGCTACCTAAGTAGAACCTAAGTATACCTACTAATTATAGTTAATTTACTGTAACTATTTATTTTTATCATTTAGCAAGGCTATCATAAGAAACGTATTACGTATGTAGCTTACAGTCGCGCAAATGTAACGTAATTTTTATTTCTTTTGAAAAACTGAAGTATTTAATTTTACTAAATACAACTTCAACCACGGTGGTACGGCAGAGAAATCAGTTATAAGTTCCAGTTATAAAATTTGCATCCCCAACACTGACAAAATATGATCGACATTCCTCGATAACTTTGTGAACATTCAGTAGGCAAAAAAAAGAGGGTAAAGAATATAAGGGGCGAAAAGACTTCAAAAGGGCTTTAGATTGACGGAAAAGAGGAAAGTAAAATTTGGCACTTAAGCCTGCTCTGAAGTCCTCGCTTTGCTCTTTCTTATATACCTCTCCTGGAATTCAACATCGATGTCTACTCGACTTCCTTAACTTTTTAATCCTATTACATGACGTTTACAATGATTTCAACTTATTTGCCCCTCCAGCAGTTCATAACTAAGAAAAGTTGATCCGAGTCTTGAATAATCCATCCCTTGTAAAAAGAGAAGGCGGCAGTAATAACCGCTTAATTTCATACTTAAATGTTAAATTCAATTTGCATGATTTCAAAATTCATCCGATTAATTCCTCGCTCGGAAACCAGGGAGCATCTTTAATTACTGTAACACACTAAGTGCGGAACGGGGGTGAGAGAAGACGCACTGTTTTCTGTATCTTTGTAAGGGTGGGGGGAGGTATTGTGCCTCCGACTTCAGCTTTTCGGCTGCATGGACCCCCTCGAAAAATTAATTTTTATAATTTCTTTTTATTTTTTCCAGTTCGAAAAAGCTTTGGCTCTCGCCTTAGCCAAAGAAGAGTGCCAAACAAATGGATCAAGATCATCAGAAAGGAACCAACCCACGTTTAGTTTAAACCGAGAAACAGAGATTTGAAGTTTTATTTCTGCATAAGGCTCAATGTAAAAAATAAAATTTCAATCCCCCTTCTTACAAAATTCGATCAGTGAATGCGCAAAAACTGGGTTCGTATCCACCAGAAGAGGAGCTAATACACATAATTCCGCGAGAATGATGTCTTCACTGATATTTTGTAGAAAAGGGTACTCTTTTCTCTCAACATCTAACCTTGAAAATTTGTTTGTTTTTTATTGCAACCATAACCATGCAAGATTGCAAAAGATTACACTTACAGCTGTCTTCCTACCATGAAAGTTAGTCCATTTCTTACCGTCGAGGATAAACTTTTTCGATTTTTCACAGCTCGAATAATAAGAAAAAAATCTCTCAGATGATCATTAATAGAAATTTAATGAAAATCATAGGACTTTTTCCGTGAAATTTTCTTTTCGATCAGGATTGTATCAATTTTCACAAAACTATATTTTTGGACTCGCTGCTTTTTTCGGGAATACTGAAGAACGGTCTGGTCATCATACATATACATTAATTGTGTACAGGACCAAAGTTTCTAACTATATCACCTATGCGTTAGTCACATTACCCTCCATGGCATTGAATTAATTTGGATCTCAGATTCTAGGAGACACTAATCTATGTTGAAGCTTGCATAAAAAAATAAATGAGTATCAATTGTTTTTTTCAAAATTGTTTAGTCAAGGAAGTCAATTTCTCAAAAAAACAAAAAACTGATGAAATTTTGCAAAATTATGGCACAGGGGAAAGATTCAATTTCCATCAAAAACCCCGAAAATACGTTGTTACGGATTCGTAACGCTATACCATAGAGGGTTAAATAAAGTTTTCGTGATAGCTATATGCACCACGATTATGGTCACGATCTGAGACTTGGAATGACCTCTCGGATAGGACAAGAGGACAAATAGTGAGTTGTAGCCGTTGGACTAGGCGGAGGGACCGAGGGAATAAACAAACTCGGATTCGGACGTTTGTTGGACGTTCTCCCAAGTTGGAGTGGCCGAAGACGTATTACAAACATAATGCGTTTTGACGTGCTACTGCGTGTTGCGGCCAATTTTGACTCGGAGTTTATCGTCTCCCCTCAGTTTTCCATCCACTCTTTTAATCGCTTGCAGTCCATTTTCCTCCTCGAAACTGCTCTTAAACAGGGACGATTCTCTGCATTATTTCTGAACGTCCTTAAAGAAACAGCAAGCAATTCTTGTGTTATTTGTGTTAAAGCCAGAGTTCTTTCCTTCTTTTTCGGAATTCTCGCAGTTGACAGGAAAGGAATGGGACGGTTTTCTTTGATTTTAAATTATCGAGGTATAACGATTTCTTCTCGTCAGTTTTGGAAGTTATGAATTCCATACTCATGACTGATCAGCTCATTATTTGCCAACTTCTGAACTCGTCGGTTATCCGGCGTGAGATCGTGTCTTTTTTGAGATGCCCGTGCGTAACTCCATGCTTTCCATGGCTCATAGAAAAGAAAATTAGCCCCAGTGGCGTGGCGTGAATTGCGATATATCGATTGCTATGCCATTCATCTATGCCAATCTAAGCGACACCTCATTAGCAGCTCGTAGCGGATGCATTGAGAGTTCACGTCTCGCGCCATCGCGCCTTCAATTTTGCAGACGCAACACGGACGTCCATCAAGTACGAATAGTTGTATCTCTGCGCCGTCATCAACGAGCATCTTTTCAGTCATTCACTTCCTCTGTTTTCATGTTGAGGTGCGGTTCCGTCTGTGTAGTTTTTTAATGCAATTCGATGAATGACTTTTTAAAACTTGAAAAAATCGAGTGAAATGAGCATGATAATATCCTTAGCTTTTAAATTGAACTATTCGTCGTCTCTCTGATTAGAGAAGCCATAACTTCAGTTCCGCATGAGTCTCAAAAAGCATGAATTTATGTGTTAAATAGGGCTCACGTGGAAATTGGATGTATTTATGCTAAAAGGAACTATTTTGCACGCAAACCCTATGCACATAGCCAGTGGCGTGGTGTGAATTGCGATGTATCGATTGTTATGTCATTTAAACCTATGGTAAAGAATCGATTATTAACGTGTTCGCTGCGAACACCCTGTTTA